CGGTATAATATTACATATATAATATAATTTATATTTATTCAGAATTCTAAATTTATAAGTATTAAAGCTCAGATGTTAAGGCGAAAACTACTTTAAACTTTAAATTTCACAATTTTTGCATCTATACATGGCAGCTTCTGTAGCTTCACGAGAAGAAATAAATATTACTGCTCGGTGAAACTGGAGCAGGAAAATCCGCATTTATAAACGCTTTGGCAAATTATTTTAAATTTAATAGTCTAGATGAGGCAATTTCTGGTGAAATAAATGTATTAATCACATGTAGATTTACGATAACGAACGAGGATTACGAAATGAAAACGATAACGGTAGTTAGTGTTACGGGGTGATTCGTACGTTCGATAATCTATACTATAAAATATAAACTTTACGTGATAATGCAACTCGCCAGAGGCGTGACGTTGGTGATTTGGATCATACTGTATAATATAAGGGAATTATTATCGGGTTAGTGAGCTTATGTGCCCTTCTTCGCACATAAGTGTCGTAACCAACCTTATCTAAGTTACGTCCTTTTTATAACGTTAAAGGACTAATAAGGCTTAAACAGATCTCACCTTATAGTATAGTGGCTTAATTTCGATCAGCCGAAGTTTATCGCAGATTGCCTTAGCCTTGTAGATCATACGCGTAATTAACCTTCGGGAACTGTCGACGTTTCCGGATTCATAATCATGTGATTTATATTTGGATTGGATGTTCGAGTTTGGAAATATTAGTAAAGAAGAAGATGATGATAACGAAGCGAAGACGACGTAAATGATAACGCAGACGAGTCATATACTCGTATACGTATTCCATGCAGAAGAAAATAAAGTCATAAGATTAATCGATACACCTGGGATAGGGAGTAATATATAGTACAAATTATACCTTATTTACTACATATTCACTAGGTAATATATGTATTTAAACATATTAGCTAAAAATATATTAAACAACATATATTGCCTAGTAAATATATAGTAAATAAGTTATAATCTGTACTATATATTACTGGTTATTATTTAGTTAAAATATGATTGATTTAAATATTGCATACAAGAATTACTATCACACCTTCATAAAAGTGCTAAGGATAATATTGTCTTCTGCTTTACTAATACTAGAGGAGCGTTCTTTCATCCAGGAGATACATTACCAGTGCTAAAGAAACAACTTGATGAAATTAAAGATACAACATACTGTTTTGATAACGAATCATTTAGATTTCTAGCGGCAGTTAAGAAAGAGATGTCATTTATAAATAAGGAAAATTTTCGCGTCTAGTTGGGAAAACCCTGCGAAGGAATCGATGAGACTACTTCAGCACATAATAAATTGTACACCTCACAAAATAATTGTTACTATATCACTTAATAATGCTAGACAAATAGTGATGATTCTTTATAAACCTCTTGCAGAAGTAATTCCAAATGTTCAAGAAAATATTGCCCAGATTGAAAAGTTAAAAAAAGAAATACAAAGTTCTGATATAACTGCTGAAGGGCTTAAAAATAAGCTGTACTGTACATTCCTCATATAGGACTTGGGTTGATTCCGCTGGAACAACCCAAAGTTGTATGCATGAATAGCATTTGTAAAAAATCAGTTGTTGATAATACAATTGGAAGCTGCCATGTTAAATGGAAAATGTTAAACGCATTTATGCAGAAGCGTAAGGGGGGCCATG